CTGAAAAGCAGAACCCCACACAGGGGTGTCAGAATCATGCTGACGCAGTTAGGGTTTAGGGTTTTCCGGTCTTTTGGCCAGGAGAGCTTTCATGATAAACAGCGCTGATATCAACCTTTCATGTACGGTTTCCGTATATGAATTCAAAGTGCTGTAGGCCAGGGATTGTGGTCAAGTTTAAATTTTTGCTGCGCAAGCAGCAGATGCACCTTGAGGGTTTAGTACAGCTGGTAGGTTCAGGGGCTTCATTTATTTTTGATGCTTTGAAGGATTGAAGTTCGCAAGCTTTCAGGTCCAACTGCAGCCGTCACATTACGTAGCCCTAGTCGCAAACTCTCTGACAGCTCTCCATACTACCAAGCCTCAAGCTCCCCACAAATAGCAGCAACACAGTTCACCTTGTTTTCCTGTTTGTGACAGGTAATGATGGCCGTTGGCGGGTTTCCACGCGAATTATGATAACTTCAAATTCCGAAGATCCCGACACCCGAAATACGAACTCAGTAACAGACAGCCAGAGTGCGGGGAGTTACTCGGGACAGGTGCTTCTATCAGGCGTACATGTAACTCGGAGGAGCGGGCATTACCTTACAGAAGATGGGGAAGACTTCGGAAAGTATTATGGACGTTTTTCAGTTCAAAGCCCAACCCAGAAACTTCATAACAATTATGCTGCTTGTAGTAAGACTCATAAGCGTCAGCATCATGATAATAGCAGCAGTAGTAGTAGCAGCAGCAGGAGTAGAAGTAGCAGCAGCAGTAGCAGCATCACTATGATCGTCTACATGCCCCACATATTGAAACTATAAACCCCGACTGCGCCCGCTTCGGCAAAGAACGTCCAGTGCAGTCTAGCGTGTCAGATCTCCCACAGCATGGCTGGGGTGCAGGTCACATGCCGCATGGGTTAGCACGAAGCTCTTTCAAAGAAAATTGTGATTCATTGATGTACATGTGATTGTATTCACGTTCGGCACTTTTGCGTTCTGATGCATGGGATTCCAGCTTGAGATGATGCCTAGCACATAGGCATCCACAGGGTGCAAGATTAAGGGGTGAGCGTTTTGAAAAAGATTGGGCATTTGCATGTGGCAAACTTGCTGTTTTACTTTGCGGCCTCCATCACAGACAAAGACAGTTTGCAATGGTTGTGAAGCTCTTGAAAAAAGTAGCTTACGGTACGATGTTCAAGTGGCTGCCCAGCTTAAAGACCATCAGTCACAAAGGTTTTCAAATGTAGTCGGTCTGACAAAGAAAGACAACAAGCCAGAGTAAAATCAAAGCTATGGGCAGATGACCCTTGAGACCAGGATTTCGGCGACCTAGGGAAATGTGTGGAGACTCCATGCAACAAATAATTCGAAAACTAAGGGAAAGAGCCAGTAGTCTGCTAACTCACTTTGTTAACATGTGAAAGAACACGAGCAACAATTTTGCATTTGGAGTTGCAAAGAACTCACGAGCGTTTCCGGGATTACGTTGGATTTGGAGATCTGACCAACAAGCACTTCGTCCATGACCCGCGCAGCTACATGGTTGAAAAATTGACGACTCTGACCTTGCTCAAGACACAGCAGCAGGATTAAAGCAGAGAGCTTAGGTTCCAAACACTGGCGCTTTTAGTCCGGCTTTCGTTTTGTGAGAATGCAACAAGTTGCTACATGATTAGTTCCCGGAACTGACAGTATCGTAATTGAGTCAGTCTGCCTTTAGGGGACTTGAAGTTGGGACGCAGCTGGCAGTGGTTGATGAGATTTGTTTAGTCGTGGACAAAGAAATTTCCTCAAGAGGCACCGACAGAACGGATCCTTGAGGAAAACACGGACAAGATGGAAAAAAGGCATTGATGTTCTTTGAAGGCTAGAGCATTCCCCTAAGCTGGTTGGAGTTTCAAGTCCTTGGCTCCTGCGAGAAGAAAACACTGTTTCATTGAGATTCTTGTGGCTTGCCGAGTGGCTTCGAGGGCACGTAGCATTGCTGTTGGAAGAGGTCAATTTAGTGTAACTTCATTGCTCTTTCCTAAACCCATTGCTTCTTAATTTGCACCTGTCTGTTGAAGGCTGTTACGCTGATTTAAAGCTAGCCAACTGTAAGCCCATCTAGCAATGCAAAAAATTCCTCCCAGTGGTACCGGAGAACAAATGACGGTTGGGGAACAAAGTATTAAATCAGCCAGGAGTTGAGGACTGCTGAGCAAGGCTTAGAACAGACTTTGCCCACATTAGCCTTCACGCCCATGGTCTCCATGGGCTGCTTAAGCCGCATTTTGGCGTCCGCCTGAGCTGAAATGGCCAAGCTTTGCCACTATGAAGCCTTGCAGCTTCTTCCCACTGCTGCAGAGTCGGAAATCCGCTCTGCTTACCGTCGACAAGCCTTGTCCACACACCCGGATAAAGGTGGCCGTGCCGAGGACGATGCGCACATAATCTGACAAGTTACAATTTCGAAATTCAAATTCAATATTCGGACAGGCTATAGCTATGCTGCTGGTGCAGGGCCCGAGCATCACGCCAGTGATTCCTTTAAGATTCATCTTTTTTCAGTTCTTGTCACATTGTGTTGTCCAGGTAAGCCCGCAGACTCAGAAGTTCAAAACAAGCAACCGCATCTTGCAGGATTTTCTGCGTGTGGTCGCCGCGTTCGAAATACTTTCTGATCCCAAGAGGCGCTTGGCGTATGACCAGCAGCGCACTCAGGCTTCAGATCAAGGTCTTCCTCAAAGGAAGAGGCAGAAGCCAGCAGCAAGGACGAACACGGAGGATTGCGCACAACACAGACGGAAGCCACAAAAGGAAGCTGGTGCTACTTTCAAAGACGAGAGCAAGGGCAGGGCTGCCTCAAGCGGGACTACTCCAGATCCATCTTCAACTCAGGCAGAGTTTGGGTCGGGGAATGCCGCGGCCACACCCACTTTCGAAGAAAACTCAAGCCCGCTTGACTTGCTCAATGAGCTGCTGCAGCTGCCGCGAAAGGAGGTGCTTTCACGTTTGAAGAAGATGACAGAGCAGGCCTGGAGTTTGAAAGAATGTGAACCCAAAACATACAGATTGATTCTGCAGGTCACCTAAGCTTGACAGAATGAGGTATGTGGGGATGCTTCCCTGGATATTCCAGCACACAAACTCCTTCATCGTGCTCTCCGATATTTACACGGTTGATCAATCAAAGAAACATCATAAAATCTTCATTCAAGCTTGAACCCAGCCTGGGAACACAGGCTGCTTTCAAGATTTCATTCTCTTGTTGTAATCTACACGGAACTGGACTTGCAGGAGCTCCGTCATCTCGTTGGTATCATTGACAAGCAGGCAAAATTTGTCAGTTCCAGGGTGGGATCATGCCATAGTGGTTGCAGAGATTGTCGTTGATGCGTTTTAGGATTGGGTTGTGAAACTGTGAAGGTTACACAGACTTTAAAGGCAAAGGTTTTATGGCTGGGTCCCATGTGCGGTTAGGGTGTTAGGGCATCCAAGATCCAGGCAAAAAGAGATTGCTGCGGTTCTTGCATGTGGGACCTATTGTCCAGATTTTTGCTTGCGGAGGAATCTTCGGCTGCGTAGAGTGCTAAGGCGAGCTTCGACACAAATTACGGCGTGTGTTGGGGAGCCACCAGCCCATACTTTTTTCTTGAAACGTCGCTGTGCCCTTTCCATTTGCCAATCTTATCAGGTCGTGTTGTCCACACATGTTGATTACTGTTTGCCTTACTTGCCACTTGGAGCTATATGAAGTTTCCAGAGAGTAAGACTGGCTGCGGCTGTCAAAATATTGTTTGGTGCGTGCAATGCAAAGAACCATGTTATCAACATTGGCGATGCTGGTGACATGGAAGCCATTGTAAATTCCGGGCTCCATGCAAAACTCAACATAATTTAAAATCAAGCCCAAGCTTGCAGTAAGGTTTATTTCTTCATGCCGGACAAAAGCTTCAGGGCTGGTGATATTACAAGAAGACGATGAGTAGTAAAGCATCATAGCAGGGAGGAAGAGGATGGTTATTGAGAATGCGATGTTTTTTGCAAAACTGTCCAGGTTACCCCTTACAGCCTTCTCAACATCCCGTTCATCATCCCCATATACATTCCAAGTAAAGTGTGCGTTATGGTAAGCAACGCCCGTGGACCAGGCCTTTTCTACCGCTACAGGGCCGGATACATCTGCTTCAGAGCTTCGGGTCTCCCAGCGAAGATGTCAGGAGGCGAGAGTGTTTGTTGTGCTTATATTCCTGTTGCTTGGGTTTTGACTTTTCAAGGTTCCTCCATATTACACATTCAGAAGGTGGGTGGTACTTGCGCAGTCACTGGCTAACGGGGAAGCTTCACCTGATTAGTTTGCTAAGTGGCCATGACTTCCTACATGCAAGATACTTGTCATATCGAAAATGCATCAGCCCAACCGCAACAGAATGTGAAAGAGGCCATTGCGACATTGTTTCCTTGCCACGAACAGGTTTCCGGGAATGGCATAACATAACGATTGCATCCGCAGCTGTTGTTGTTTGGACAGATCATATATTTGGCATAGACATGTCAGATGTTGCTTGGACGCGGATTTGCAGAGCAAATACAGAATGCCATTGTGGTTGAGGGCCAGGATTCCTTTGACATGGGTCGCCACGTTAAACCGCAGGAGACTTGTGCAAGGTGAGGACTCCGTTTTTTTGGGCATGTTTTGCATGGTTGAAATGGTTTTCAGTCATAAGTGAAGGATATGTTGCTTGCAAGGGGCATGACCACGTGCATGCTGAGCAGAATTGACAGGACGCAGGCGAAGAGTCCGAAATCGGAAGTTCTGAGGCTGCTGCAGATACTGCTTCCTACTTTAACAAATTGTGTCTCAATCCTTTTGTTTGTCGTGCGGGGCTGAAGGTTCAGGATTTTTGCATTTCGTGCAAATGTTTGAAAGCAATATTGGAAGGCTCCAGAGAACGCAACTAAAAGCAACAAAATACAACAATTGTTACCACATTCAAGTCATTGTTGGTATGTTCAGAATTTCAGGATCTTGAACGCACGTTGCCAGTTGCAGCGCTCGAAGATGGAAGCCCGGATGCAGTCAAGAAGAAGCCGGAAACACGGCAACGAGGAGAACAAGATGTCGCTTCACCAACCCCTCAAAGGAAGCGTGTCCTGCTCAAAGGTGTGATGCAATGCACTCGCAAAAAAGACCGTTACAGACAAGGTGCACGTTACCATGCGTGTATCGGCTGCAGAAACTTGGTGCTTCGCTCGCAGGAGACTGCGAGCCTTGATGCAGCCATAGACATGCACATTAGCTTGGTTCGCATGAGGCAGCACATTTTCTCCCAAGTGGATGCCGGTGCGTCAGCGAGCCAAGCACTGAAGGATGCTGCAGAAGCAACGGAGCAAGAACGGAAAGCTGCAGCCACGTGCCCGCTTAAGATTTCCTTCAGGGTACTGTTCTCACATAATCGGTATTCAAAGTCGTCGCGGCTCGTGGGCCAAATCGCCCCGATTTGGGAGCAGCAACTTCAATATAGAAACAAAGCACGCAAAAGGAGGGAAGACCTTGCCCAACAGAGACAATTGAGACAGTTGAAGAGAAAAAACGAAATTGAACAAAGGCGCAACGCTCGCAAGCTGCGCAAGGCACAAGCTGAAGCCCGTCGGCGACGACGTGCAGAGGCAAAGTCTGCCAAAATGCAGACGAATCGCGTGAAGAAAGAAGCAGCTGCAGAAAAGCGGGCTCAAAGATTGCGCACGAAGCTTCATGTCTTGCGGAAGCATGCCGTAATGCGGCTCAAATGCTTGCAGAAGGACGAGCGGAAGCAACAGCGAGCGGCTCTTAGGAAGTGGGGGGTCACTGAACTCCCACTTGGCTTGCGGTCTGAAACCTTCCGTGACTTGAATGACGTTCTTTGTGCTGAACTCATTCTTCAAGATGGAACGGCACAACTGGGCCCGTTCCGGTTCTGCCTTGCAGACGCACAGCGTGATTTGGATGAGCTGCGTCTGTTACAACGACAGAAACCAAGAAGCAGTTTGCAATCATATTGTTCGTTCTTCTTTGTTCAAACAAGCTTCAACCCACTTCTTAAAATGTAGCCCAGGAAAGGAGATCAAGCTCTGGTCAAAGAGATGAATCGCAGAGAATTAGAGGCCATGATCTTGCTTTTACGGAAGTAAAAAGGATTCATTTACCCTCGCCAATTCTCATCTTGCACTTGCTCTTCTAAGGGCAGAAATCGATCAGCTAGCTACGAATATCAAAATCAAGATTGAAGATGATAGGATAGAACGGGTCATGGATATCTTTAAATTCTTGATGATTGAAAAAATCGTATGAAAATATAAAATGAAAGAATGAGCGAATAATATTCTCTCATGAAAATCGAGATAGGATCTGATGGATTTCAGACAAAAAGATGATAATATATATAATATTTTTTTTCATATGGATTATTAGAATTTAAGAGAATTCGAAGAATTATTTTTTTGATGATCGAATAGATTGATTCTCTGATTTGATAAGATTGCATGAGCATGCTAAAATATGTCATAAATCTGAAATTCTCTCTAGATCAAATTTATATGCTCAGATTCTTGTTATTCTTTAGTTTGGTTGTTTTATCATTAAATATCATACGATTTTCATATTTATATTCTTTTATATATCTCTTATTTTCCTTTGTATAAAAATATATTTAATTTTTATTATTAGTTTATTTATTTCTTTATTTTTGAAATTTCCGGTTTTATGATTAGAGGTTTCTTTTTTATTTCTTAAAAAATTCTTTTTTTAATTATTAAATTTTTCGATTTTTTTCTATCTAATTTCTCAAGGTTTATGATTAGATTATTTGTATTTTTGCTCTGCAAATTTCTTACTTTCGTATATGGAGTTTTCTTTCTTATTCATCAAAATTCTTTGTTTTCACGGCTTGATTATTTGTCTTTCATTTTTTAGATTGCGCGTTTTACGATTTGGTTTTTTAGCATACAAATATGAATATATATTCATAATTCTGCAATGACAAATCGATTGAATCTTGAGGGCTATAGGAGTGTCGCGATATTTGATATAGAGATAACGATTTTTTGAAGATATTCGGTCGATGAAATTTTAGAATTTTTATTCGAATAAGGTAATTTTCATTAAAAATTGAAATTTCTAAATTCTTCAGATGGGAATGCGATTCTAACATAGAAAATATGATTTTTTTCAAATATTCCGCACGGGAATTCGATTTTCTGCAAAATTTAAACTATATTCTATATAAGATCGTGATTTTGAATGAAAGCACGATGAAATTTGAATGATGATCCGCATGATTCTTCAAAATTATTAGATATTAGGATTTTCTATATGGCAGCGCGCTTATCTAGAATTTCTTTCTAAGATTTTCAGGATGTTCCGCACGAGAAAACGATTTTGAATGATGACGTCGTAAATCTCATAATGGCATTATATTGGGAATCTTCGGATTAAGATCATCTTTTTTAATTTAAAAAAAACGATTTTGAATCAAATTCGTCGGGATTTATTTGATATAGAATTCCTCGATATCATTATTGATAAATGATCAAAATTTCGAGATTTTTTAGCGAATGAAATCTAAAATTTGAAATAGCAAGGGATATCTCTCTAAGATATATTCATCAAATTAAATCGTATAATCTCTAATTATAAATGATATCTATTTAAGATATTTTCAGAGAATTAAATTCCTAAATCTCATATCGTAAGGCGCGATCTTCTAAACGAATCTCCAGATTAAAATTATAAAAGATTTTTTGGAATTATTTCGTCGAATCTCATTTCGCAAGGGGCGAACCATTTCTCAATTCTTATCTGATCTTCTTGTTCTTTTTTTTTATAGACGACGGCATCTTTATATTATTCCTTTTCGATTCAAATTAAATAATATATCTACGATCCTTTCATTTCATTATATTGATATTTTAAAAATATTTTGATAGGAAAATTGAATTTGAAATAATTCTGATTTGATTGATATTGATAGAATAATTCGATTAAAGAAAAAGGATAGAAAAATAATGAAAATCGAAAAAAAAATACAGAAAAATAAAAGGTAATTATGAAATAAAAGCAAAAATATGAAGATAATCAAAGAAAATGATAAGAAAGAACGTTTTGGAAAATGATTCAATTGAGCAGAGATTTCTAATTGAATGAAAAGGATTTGATCTTCGAAATATGATATATTCAAATATAAGATTCATCGTTAATCTTTTTCATTTATATGAAGATCAATTATAATAATCATAATATCCTAGAATGAGATTTCCAACGATTTGATTCGAATATCTATATATCATTTTCAAAATTTCTAATATTATATATATTCTGCTATGATTAAAAATTGAAATATTCTCTATATCATCTTGAGAATTGAAGAGAAGATTTTTAATTTTCCTTTATTCTGGAAATTTTGATTATCTGCATTCTATCTATAAATTGAAATTTGATTGAAAGATGATTTGATTGATCGTTCATTCTATCAAATTTAATTGAATATCAGGAATTGACTCTCAAATAAGAATTCAATGAATCGGAAAATTGAATTCAATGAAATAAATCTATATATATTCATTTTGAATGAAATATGATCATTTATTATATGAATTTTTAAGATATGATTGATCTTTGCGATGCTTGTGATTGATTTGAAATATGGATCTAAAGATGATTATTGGAAGAAAATTATTTATGATTCTAGATAGAATGATATATAAATATGATCTGACGAAAATTGAGATTTTATTTCTATATTCAATTTCATTGAAAATCGATGGAAATATCATGATATATATATATATATATCTATCTCTAATTCTTGAATTCATGAAAATAAATGATTGAATTATCATATTCTCTCATTTATAGATTTTGATTTGGATTTCAAGAAAGGAATTCATTCATATTCACGCATATGAAAGTTGTTGTTTGATAAAAGATTTCGAATTTTCAAATCTGAAATCCCAAAGATATCAATATTCAGATTTGATCATGAATGAATTGGGAAATATTCATTGAAAAAATCTTTCTATATCATAATTTTATTTATCAATTAATATTGATTATTCGTAGAATTGATATTGGCCGTATTGCTCTGATTTTAAATCTTCGAAGATTCTTTATATTCATGAATCAAAGAAATTTTGGTTTCTTATTTCTTATTCATAGACCGTCCTGAAATATAATTATCAATCCAAAATTAAATATAGCAAGCAATAAATTGACCTCCGTTTATATTTCTATTCCAAAAGCTAATTAAAAAAATTCTGGAAAAGCTATGTTCAGGGACAAAAGCGCAATCTTGCGTACATTATACCCGCATTTTCCTTAAATTGTCATTATTCTAATTTTTTCAAAAGATCTTTGATTGAATATCGTTTGAAATTATAAAGATATTCGAAAGGAAAAATTGATTTTCAACCAATCTCAATATGTTTGATACGTTTTTATTCGCGAATTTTATATTCAATTGCAATGGATATTGAAGATTGGATTTACGTCTATTCTCATCATTCCGGTTTTCAATAAATTGTAATTTTTTATGAAATTGATATTGATTTTTTATTGTTGGTATAATTTTCCGATATTTTACGGTGGATTATTTATCATTTCTGAAATGAAAAATTGAAGTTTAATTGATTGCTTTTGTTTTCTGGTTTGATTATCGTTTTCTGGAGCGGTGGATAATTTTTGTTCTCTTGAATCAACGATTTTTCATTCCGTATAATCAAATAAAAAATGATTGCGTTGATTAAGATATTTGTCTTTCATCTTCTTCAATATATTAAGTCTGGGGTTGATATTATTCGTTGTATTTCATGTATTGATTTTGAAAAACAAAATATTTACATATTTTCCTATCTGATTTTCTCATCCGTTTCATAAGCTGATATCGAAAATCATATAATATATATATGATATTTATGATAGAAATCAATGATTTCTTATTGTGGGGAATCTCCATCAAAATTATCAATTAATATTCTTCATTGGAAAATTCAAATCATTTTCCTCTCATTATTTCATGAATATGATTTTAAAAATACATTTAAAAAACATAAGTTATATATAATGATATATCTTATCATTTGAAAATCTGAATATTGATCATGTGCCAAATCATATAAAGAAATTCAAGTTCAAAATAAAAGAATATTGTAATCCTCTCTTGAGAGTATATATATGGTCCATGTAATGATTTTAATGTATATATATTTCGAAAGAAATCATGATGCTAAATTCTTGTATATTAGGAATTGAATCGAATATAATTGTTTTCAATATTTGAAATCAAAATTATTTCATATCATTATATTTTTGGAAAAAAAAAAAAATACAATATTTAAATCTAGAAAATGTCTCATATTCATGATATCGTCTCTTGAATGAAAAATTGTTTATAAGATCTTTTATTCAATTGTTAATTTAAGAATTTTGAAAAAAAATTGAAGGCCGAAAATTCGATTTTTTTTTATCTTTGAAACAAATCTTGGATTCTGAAATCAGAAAATCTTATCTGGAATTATCTTTTTTTTATAGATTTTGTGTTTTTCATTGATTTTCTTGCTATATTTTTTCTTCTGTTTTAGGATGTGTTTTCAATAGCAAACGAAACGGGAAACGCTTTCCTTTAACATGATTGATGCAAGATTCGTCATTCAAATTTTGATTAGTCCAAAAAATGACTCCATTTCAATTTTCCGCCAGATGAACCCGCACAAAGAACATTTCTCTGAAAATGAAAAAATAAATTCGGTTGTCGTGCGTTGCATCTTCAAACTCCAAAGAAAAAATCACGCTCTTGTCCCAAATGTCATAAATTTTTAAAAAGTGGAAAAAAAAAGTTCTCGCACGAAAAAATCTTGAAAATCTTTTGCGGGTTCTTTTGACTCACACGTGCGTACAATCGTCAAAAAAAAATCAATCAGAATATCTTTTTTTGAGAAAATCGTGTGCTCGGGCACAGCATATTGGAAAGTTTCATCT